GAAATCAGCCACGAAAAATTTACAAAACATTCAACCCACAATATAAAATATAAAAGAAAGTTGAATTTCAAAATCCACTCTAAATTCATTAACAATTTCACCTCTTGAGTACATTTTAATGGACCGAACATTTTTCTCAAAACTCATGCTGACAGCAAAAACTTATTCAAATTCAGTCAATCAGAAGCTTTTCCGAACCATCAGCTCATTTTTAACACGACTTCATTAGCCGACAAATAAACACCCTCAAGCTAATCTCTATCAATAACTCAAAGACCTCTAGGTCAAAAAAAAGCAAACCACTAAACATTGACACCTGAAATAAGCAAAGTTTCAAAGTTACAACCTCCCCTAACAAGCAGTACAAAGATCAACAAAATTATACCAACTTAGACCTCAAAAACACCTTAGGCAAAACAATTAAATTAGCCTAAAGAACAAAATGGACATGATCATTCAGCCTAAGTTCCTACTTCCGATCCCAATGATGAAAAACGCAATAATGTAAACGAGCATGTCTTATATACCACACTCTCATAGACATCTCATTACCACTTTACTAATCCATTAACATTACCACTGTATAACACCCCTCATATAATGAAGTAAGCGGCACCCTACTCTACCTCCTAACAACAGCACTAACCTCAAACCAGTTCACGCAAATAGAATACAGAGAATCACTCACAAAATTCACTGCACCAAAAGCTAATAATTACCCCATCGATTATTACGAGCATAATATCATCCGACCAAATGAGGATATTTGTCTAAGTAACGACCCATATACTAATCCTCAACTAACTAAAAAATTTTTCATGAAAACATCATACACCTTCAGCCTCAACATTTTAAATAAAAAATACGACAAATTCATCTCTGCAGCACTACGTAATACAAATGCTCAGGATACTTTAACAAACTCAACCATTTTTCACTAGCCTTTCATTTCTTCACACCCAAAGAATGTGACTTGCACTGTTCACACGAAGTCATGTTACGAACTAAACAAACACATACGTACACTTATAAATTCAGTATATTTTCCAAAGCAGTAAATATTCATAAACTGAAAATAGCTTCACAACTTCAACCCCCAAATCAAGCAGTAAAATTTATAATTTTCAAAGTAATAAATTAATCGAAATAGATCATAAATTGCAAAAGCAGTACTAAACTTTTCAAAGACGCTTCTTTACATTCTCTCGCCCAAATTTTCTATCGAAATTCGCATTGCTCGCCTACAAAGAATTGTTCAAAATATTGAATTTGAGTTTCAACTTTCACTGTTAACAACTTCAACAATATTAACATAATTCAAATTTTCCTTTAACCCGCTTGGAAAGGAATTATATAATAATCCAAACTAACCAACGCAAGCTTACTAAACACCATAAACCACAACTTAATAGCTTGACTAAAAAAAAGAAAACGCACGGTACCCAAACTGGAAGAAAACCAGATTAGAACCGAATAAATTATTCCTTTAACGACTACTTTTAAGTCTGAACACAAAAGAACAAAACACCAAAAAGTCGAAAGACAAACCCAAATTAAACAATTTGATTTTTGAAAAAATGACAAAAATAAGACAAAAGAAAACACTAGTAATAAAAAATGGCACGAAATGTTGAACTAACACAGGACCCTCCAAAAAGAGAGCACTAATTTATTCCCTCACTTCTGGCCTAACCCCCCAGAAGAGGACGTCCTGAGCATGCTCTATAGCCGGCCTCACCCACCATGCTACATCCATGCTTTGTGACAACCACGACACTTTTTTTGACGAGAGTTACTCATGTGTGAGTAGCTCTTAAAAATAACCAAACTAATTAATAACGCTTTTGCGAAGAAAACTAATACTAAGATTGTAACTAAAAAAAACAAGATTAACAAAGACTTGTATATGTAAATGATATAATGCAGTATATAGATTACAAACAGCCCAAAGAGGAGCAGCAAGGAATTTGACAACTCAATCACACTCCAACTACGGAATGGCAAAACCCACCTGACCTGCTGCCTACAGTCACTACACTCAATGGATTTAGAGTACGACTTGGCATCGCAGAAAAGGAAATCCATTGCAACAGAACAATGGCTATCTCGATGTTCAAGTATAAGTACAGATCCAAGTCATCAGGCATTGCACCCAAGCTCAAACTTCACGCCATTTCCAAACGAGACCGAAACACTGTTTTCTACCAATCAAGAACAAACGATCATAACAAACCATTTGGAAATCAGATTGACTTCCAGAATCAACAGCAACAGTTGGCGGTCACAGTCATTGTCGAATGACAGACTGATATCGACAATTCTTTCTTCCTGGAGCAGACGGATAAGACATCCTTCTCCAAGAACGAAACAGAAATGATGTTCGAGAAATACAAACAAATTTCATCCATCCTTCATTAGAAACGATAGTTAAAAAACAAAAACTAAAACTCTCTAAACCCCGGATGGGTAGAACCAGATCTAAACTAGTATTTATCATTGGTTATTATTATGATATTTTGTTATGATGTTTTATAAAATATTAAATACTAACCAATCATACTCCTTAAAATTAACAACCTATTTATTTGTAAAGTGTTGAAACTTTTTGTAGTTTCAACACCAGAGCAATTTGAATTAAACTTAGAATACAATTGTTCTCATTCTGGAACTAACTCGCATAAACCGGTGTACACTAGATCTATTGAGACTAGGAGATATAAGAAGAAGATTAAGATTGGTATTAGACTAAGAAGTTGCACGAATCTATCCGGCCGAAAATAAGATAGCGTGGCGAGCAGACGGTGTACCTTATCTGAAATTACTCTTTGAGTACAGTAACCTATACATAACTCAGTATTTGTAGCCAAAAAGCTAATGCTGACAAAGTATTCATTGTGAGTTTCCATTCTTTCGTATAAAAAAACAGGGCCTGCAAAACGTTATGAGCAAAAAATTAAAGTATTGAGTTAATTTTTTTTTGTGAAAGTTAAGTCTTGTTTGAAAACATGGTTTAACCCTACATTAAATTTAACCAACAAAAGGATTTTTCTTCAAGATAAAACGGCCATAAAATTAATCAAAATAACTTTAAAATCGTTTGAAGTATTTCGCGTTTTGATTGCATGGAAAATGCTTGTCATATATTTTCTTAAATGGAAATCATATGCATTTTTCCGGAAACTCCATTAATGGAATTGTGAGATGAGCTTTTTTGTATGAAGGTCAACCCGGGTAAGTTTGAAAATGCCCCCTTTCTTAAAAATATACCTTCGTCGATCAGGGAAGGTTATCCTGCAAGATCTTGCAAATTTCTTGAATACCAGGGTTGTCTTGCAAGATCTTGCAAAATGGTTTTTATCTTCAATTATTCATTCTAATTTTTCAGCTTTTCTAGTGTAAAACGGTTCAGGTTGTAGTTATAATTTTTGTTATTTATGTCAAAGTTTCGATTATACGAGTCAATTAGCTTGAGATATTTTGTATACTGTGCTCCTATTATGCATTTTTTCGTCTGTTATGCTGTTGTAGTTATGTTACAACCATTGAACATGCGGAGGAACTTTGAATTCGGGTGCTTTTTAGCTTTTTTCTTTTTTTTCTGACCTTTAAAAATGGAGAAGAACTTTGTATTCGGGTTTCTTTTTTTTCTTTTTGTTTTCCACGCAAAATCAGGTGATACAACTAGTCATCGGAGAGGGTTGAGTGAAATATCAATTTAAAGCTTTTTTCAGTCGTGATTTGAACAACTTTTTGAAATTCCCGGAAATCTGTTCTAGTGTTGAGAAAAACCGATTTATAGGTTTTGGTTTTTAGTCTAATTTCTAGTGAATAAAGCGAGCGATCAGGCATACAATAGCCTAAATAAGGGTATCTTAGCACTAAATATTGAGTTTTGAGCAAGTGAAACTAGTTTTTGGAATTTGCAGCTGCATAAGGGGAAAAAATAACTGTGAAAAATTTCATTTTTTGATTTTTTTTGTTTTTGTTTTTCTGGTCAATTTTCTAGTATAAAATGTTAATTTCTAATTTGCCTATTTTTCTATGAATGTCAAATTTGCCTGAAATACATTTTACATCGGAATTTTTTATCACCCTACGCATGAAAACTTCACTTATATGGAAAAAAGCTTTTCCTTGTAGTTTTCCAAACGTTAAGGTCGGAACAATCTGTGCTACCTGCACAGTAACCGGCTATCCTAGTTAATTTTTATTTTCAGCGCAAAGTAAGGTACCTCAAACAATCATTTGACTGGCGTGAGTGATATAAACATATTATGCCCTTTCACTTGCGGTTCGAACTACATTTTTGGTTTCAAATTTTTGATTTTTCGTCTTATTCCGAGCGAATATAGCGAGCGAGCAGACCTATTTTTTGGCCTAAAAGCTTACAATAGCATAATTTAAAACTAAAAAAACTTTACCCGAGTTACGAATTTTTTGTGTTCACGCGCCTTCAGGAATTAAATTTTTTAAAAGTTCAAAAAACTGAAAAAACAACTTTGAAAAATTATCCAAATTGTTTTTTTCGTTCTCCTTGTACGTATTCTAACAATTTTGTTTTCAATTTGCTTGATTTACTAAGACTGTCGAATTAACCTACTACACAGTTTTTTGTTCAGATCATTTTATCAAATCACGCCGAAAAAACTGTCGGAACATTCTGAGCTACATGCGTAGTAACCATCTATCCCTGTTATTTGTTAAGATTTTATTGATTTTCTAAGAAGTAAAACGTTACCACTGTTTTTCCCTTACAATGGCTAAAGGTCCCACGAAAAATCGTATCTTTGAGGATCTTGCTTAAAAAAGGTTATCTTTAAAGATCTTGCAAAACCTTTTGAACAGATGCGTCTAGAATATATCAAACAGGAACAAAAAAAATCCGCTCTATTTTTATTTTCAAGAATAACTTTAACTTCAGATTCGGGCTGATTTCTTCGAATAACTTTCTGAGGTTTTTATTTAAAATTTCTCTAGGAGACAAAATTCTAACTTGGGAAATGAGAAGTAAAAGGGAGAAAAATGATGTCAATAACGATGATGACGATGATGACAATGATGACGATGATGCAGATGATGACGGTAATGACGGTGATGACGATGACGACGATGACGACGATGACCACGACGATGACGATGATGACGATGTTGACGATGATGACGATGATGGCGATGATGACGGTGATGACGATGATGACGATGATGACGGTGATGACGATGATGACGGTGATGACGGTGATGACGATGATGACGATGATGATGATGATGACGAGGACTATTCTGATTATGACTATTATGCTTTTGATTACGATTATGATGAATCTATGCCAGAAGACCTCGAAAAAATAAAAAAACGTGAGAAAACAAGCTCTATAATTTAGTTTTTTTTTTAAACTTCAAACAACGGTCGTAATATATTAATCAGGATATCATGTTAATGCATTCTCAGTCATGTTTTTAAGTCTTCAAAAAAGTGTGATGTACGTTGTGTGCCAATCGCTTCATTAAAGTGGTAGTTAGTTTGAATAACAAGTATGAACTAATGAACGTAGTGAAGACTCTTATATAGGTATTGCTGATTTTTTTTTTCGTTTTTTTTTGTTCAGGAAAACATCTTAAAATTTGTTCACGCTCACTTTTGATTTTTCGCGGGTTGACTTGTGATTTATTTTTAAGCTTAGTGCATTTCATGTTAAAAGGAAGGCAAATTCCACTAATAAACAGCAAAGTTGTGAAGGTCACGAAAAACGTGATCGACTTAAGTTTTGAAAATGGAAAACAGATGTCAGATTTCCCTGCAAGTTGAAAATTTTACCTACTGATCCAGTTTTCTCAAAAAAAAGTTTCCGTTATAAATTGTTCAATAACTTCAAAGAGCTTTGTGGCCATCTACTTTTTCATTCAAAATTGATAAGTTGAAGATATTTTGAAAAAACAAGTCGGTTTTTTTAGTGAAGTTTTACTTCGTTTGGTTCTTTTTTGTTGATTTTGGTACCAGTCATTCGTCTGACTGAATCAGCAGAACCCGGATCCACAAAACGATCATTGACCCCTTCCAACTTTCAAGAAAGGGAGGGGGCAAATGTTAAGTAGGGTTAGTTAGTCGTACTTTCGACCAATCGAAATTTCAAAAAGAATGCTCTTGTGCTAATTTAAAACGCGTGGCAATTCTTTAGTTGATACCAAAAGGAGGGCGATTGTTCAGTATATCTAAGAACACTCTACTATTGGATTGAAAATAGTTGATTACCTTTACAATATTGCATTTTAATTATTTTTTTTTGCGATTGGGCGGCGTGAATTTTATCTACAGCCAACGTGTTGTCATATGTGGCCAGTTCCTCCTATTGGGTGTTTGATAAATTATTACGCATCTATCATACGATACCACTAACTTTTTAAACTGGTTGTGGGGTCTTACTTTCCGGCCGTGTTAAGGAAGTTCGAGGCGAGCAGAATTTGCGCCATTAAAAAACCCTGTTTCTTAACCGTTGTATTTTTTGTGACACACAAAAAAAAAACGCTGCATTCAATACTACGTTAGTTTCAATGTATAACTTACACGTAACTGGGAACTGTATTTAGTGTCACATCACTGTCTCAGCACTGAAACTCACTGAATGGCAAAGTGGCAGCTACTAATCAAAATGACACCGAAGTGAGAGATAAAAAACAAAACTTAAACTCAAACTAAATGATAAACAATTTTACATACAACACAACTCCCTCCGCTTAGTAATTTTAAGCCATAATTTAAAATCATACAAACTAAAATCTCTTTGAATTTAAGACGTTTGGTCAAACCTTTCCCTGACGTTTGGTTTCACCAGAATGTTTGGCAGATATTCACTTTTCTGATCCTTTCTTTTTGTCTCGTACTCCTTCTCTCTTCTTCTTCCCATCGTGAACAAACATTTAGATCATAACCTCTTCTACTTTTTTTCTACAGCAGTGCGCTTTCTCCAGCTTTTCCTTGACCCGCCCCTTCTGACTTGAGTTTCTGAGTTTCTTGTTTCCAGTATAAGACCAGGCGTTTTTTTCTGGCTCCTTTTGTCTTTTTCTTTAAGCCCATTTCTGCAGACCCGTCTGCGACTGCACTGTCGTACTTTTCACGCTCCAGTTCACGCTTTGTCCCCAATGCTGTTTTTTCCGCAGTTACATCGCTCGTCGTTTCTAGTTTTGTGCAGGTGCGATGCTCATTGTGTTTCGCTTCTCAGCGTTTGTCTTGCAATTTTCCCATTCATGCATCGTTTTTCATCGACTATTCCTTTAACTGCGCTTCCGTCTACGCTTCTCGCCTCTCCCGCTCTCTTGTCACTTGGCGGCTATTTCTTTCTCAATTCCGCCAGCGATTTTTCTGCCGGAATATTCTTCGGAAACGACTTCTATGTGTGTTGATTTTTTCTGGCTACTCCATTTATTGTTAGGGCAGACTAAATGTCTAATGTTATTGCCCAGTTTGGTGTCTTGCCCTCTTCACGATCAACTAGTTGGTCTTCGGGCAGCCTTTTTGGGTGTTTGGTACGTTCAACATCAAAATCTGGGTGAATGCTGGTTTCAGTTTGTCTGGACCAGATGAGGCAATGAGTGCTCGCTCCAGTTTTTCATTTAATTTCACGTGTCCTTCCTCCTTTCCGTAAGTTAAAACAAAGTTTTTAATAATAATAATAATAATAATAATAAATTGTTTCCAAACGATATCTAATTATAAAGTTATTTATAAAAATTTATAAATACAAATTAGACTCCCTCTGACCTCTGACCTTTGAACAATGAAAATTTTCAGCAATACTTCGTTATTTGAGATGTCCTCCTTGATATCTTTAATGAAATTATTGTTGCTACTTATCATCGCCGACAGCCACCTCTAGAATAGATGTACCACTACCAGGACATATCCGTCCATTTCGAGTAGTTTGTTAACCCGGCATCAAAAATCAACTTACAGAAAACTGTTTAGCTCCCTAGTTTCGTACACATTTTACTTGTGCCCTCTTTGATGAATATAGGCTTCAGGTTTTTACCTGATGTTGTACAATGCTGGCATCCCTCGGTGGTTGCAACTAAACTTCTGTGGATGTAAGGAAACCAGATATCCCGCGCCGCGTCAAACATCTTTCCCTTCCAATAGTGGAAGCTGTAGATCTGTTTGACCAATGAAGCCCTAAGTGAAATTGGTATAAGGAGTCGCTCGTCTATCCAAAATCATTTCTCCCAGACGCAAAAATCTTTCCAGGTATGTCCTATTTGAGCGCAACCGTTAGCTAGCTCCGAGTTCTTTGCCACAATCATGCGTTGAATACCCTTCAATTCGGGTTCAGCTTGAAAAATCTCAGATTGAAAATGTTTGCATAATAGTCGGTTTTCTTGTTATCTCTTGAAATCACACTTATGACAATTTTGTTTGGAAATGTCTGCGGAAAGAGTTCTCCGTATGCTTCGTCGCGCTACTTGACGTCCCTGATTTCACCGTGTCCGGGTTGGCGTCGGCTACCTCAATTACTGAACTGCGTTCACTGATTATTACTGTATGGCCAGAGATTAACTTTTTCAGCTTCTTCAAGATCAATTTTCAGGCTTGAAAAATGGTTAAAACGACGTGCTTCTTTTAATTGACACTCAGCAATAATTCCCACTAATTTTAGCTTTTTCAGTCGTTGCACTATGATATAGAATTTTGCGCTTTTTGATTAGCTGACAATTTAATGGTTACATTTTCGTCTTCAACCAGTGTTGTTTTAGCGTTGCATTTGCAACTGCTTCCCGATTGGCAGAAACATTCATTCTAATAGTTATGATATATTAACTATTTCGACGCAGCTCTTACGTTTAATGTAACTAAGTGACCGTCTGATAGATGTTTTTTTAATTAAAAGATTTTTGTCATATATGATCACGGGCGTAATTTCAGCCACCGGGTGCCCGGAAAAATCAAAATAATGGTTCAAAAAATTGCATCTTATAAATATTATGTTCTAAAATCATTTTTGTTTTTGTTCCATTTTTCGTGTAAGAAGACTAAACCTTTATCTTTTTTTTTGCAATTTATTGGTGCTTGATGAGTCGTAAGATCTTTGGCGACTGTCGAATGTCTTCCAAAGATATTGTTTTGAAGTTATCCTGCCATCCAAACGACAGCTAGCCTTTCTAGTTGGTTTCACGATTATTTTTTCTTCGTCGCGTTTAGAAGACATTTTTCGAAGGATATTGGTTTCCATCTATTGGCGCAATTATGGCTGGCGTAGCATTCGTTGCGTTCTAAGAAATGTTTTCATTCAAATTTATTTGCGACTTGCTTAGGTTTTCAAACGCTAGTTGACATTCAGATGTCAATAGAAATTTGTTTTTCTTGATAAGCTGAGGGGCAAAATTCCATTCGCTTATCGTTTGCCCAAAAAATACCAAAAACATTTCGTGATGTGTCATATTTAAATACTTGCTTATTTGGTGCTCCTTATTCCAATGCTAGCTTTTATCGGCGATACAAAATGTTTATATGAATTTTTTCTCGACATGTCCTTGTTCTAGCAATTTGTGAATTTACTTGTCTTATTTGTCTTGAAAGGTTATAGGTACTGGCTTACCCTTCTGCCGTAGTGGAAACTAGATTTTTAAAGATTTCTGCTTAAAGTTAGTAACTATTTTTTCGATCCTGACAAATAAGTTTTAGAAATGCTCACTGAAATGATCCTGCCAGTCATCAAGGGCTTGATTTACCCCATGCATTTACTTGTTTCTTGCCGTTGGTCATGCTACCCTTGGATTTTCATCACTCACTCCTCCTCATTGGCTTCTGTCAACTCGCAGTCCGGATTTTTTTTTTGCTTACTTTGGAGAAATTTTACTATATGGGTTAAGCTATCTGAGTCTCTCTATAGGGTTCTTCTCGGTGGTTGTTTACTCATCTCGCTGGCAGCTCTTGTTGTGTTGCAATGCAAATGTAGAATAAAACAAGAGTATAGATGCATATAAAATAAGCACAGTTGGCCAAGCGGACTAAGGCAAAGTAAGCTAACACCGATTATATGTGTGAAATAACAGTTGACGTAGGTTCGAGTCCCCCACCTGCCCATGTATTAATATACTAAAAACGGGGGTTACTTCCTATTTTAACTGTTTTTTGGTTCTAATTCGGTTCAGCCTTGATTAAGGTTGACCGCCAAAAAGAGCAATTTGTCTCAAGGACATTACCGACCGGTTCTTGTGGCTAGCTTGCGCCGATTTGTACCAAAAACTGACAGATGCTAAAAATGTTGTATGATGTCCTGATCAATAGAAAAATACCGAAATTTATCTATTGCTTGAGTTATTTACCGATAAATATCTCTTATTAATTTACGAATTTGGATTCAATTATTTTCGTTTGGAGATTAGCGAGCAT